TTAATTTGGTCTGGCTCAAGCCTAGTACGAGTCTAACTGTTAGCCTGACATGACCCGTTTATGAAAAAAAAAAAAAAACAAATGGCCTGGCCTGACCCGTTAGCCTGTTAATTTTTTTTTTTTTTTGTAAATAAAGAGGGGCTAAGCCCCAGAAACAGAAAGAAATTACAAATCAGAAACTAACAAGCTAGACATATTTCTAGCATCAGCAATTATAAGTTCCATCAACTGAGGAGGAGGATATTTAAAAATCTTGAAATGAAGATTATTAGTCTGCCCAGCTTTAGCTAACCAATGAGCACATTTGTTGTTTTCTCTCTTGGTATGAACAAGATGAATAGTCCAATCTGCTTTTAACCATAATCTCAATCTGCTAGTGACTTGAGAGTCCCTAGGATCTTCATGCTGCTCCTTTAACATCTGGATGGCTTGGCTAGAATCACATTCTAGCTCTATTCTTTTTAATTCTGTTCCCCAAAGCAGAACCATAAATCAACTTTACAAAATACTCAAATTCTATTGCTAAACCAAAAATCATAATTTCAATGTCCAAACAGAATCATGAATGACAACAAAACTCATACAATCTGTATTTAAGTCACTTTAAAGCAAAATGCTCAAACTAAATAACATATATTTCATCAGATCCAACAAACAAATTCATACTACGTAAATTAAAATAATTACATGAATCTAACAAACACATCGTGATACTTGTAGTAAATATAACATCTCCCAAAAACTTTTTAATATATTCATATACACAATCTAACATGTTGAGATGTCGGTTCCTCCTACATAAGAAATAAAGTCATATTTCTATTAAAATATAATCGAATATAATTAAGTTATAAATAATTGCAATTGATTAAATTTATATCTTTTGTTTTTTCTTCAAGGCATACTTATTCTATTTTATTTTATTTAAAATAAATAGTACAATATAGGCCGGCTTATAGGCCAAGCCTTGTGAAAGTGGGCCTACGCCCTTTTTATTAAACAAGCTTTTTCAAGGCCCAAGCCCGACCTATTTTACAAAATATACTAGATCAGGTATGGCCTGATGTAGGCCAAGCCATAGGCCGGCCCAACCCAGTTTCACCCCTAGTATTGCATTCCAACGAAAAGAAGAGGAAGATGAAGTTGTAGCAGATGAAGGGACTATCGCAGTGGAGGAGGAAGACCCCTTGTGCCCATCCTACCACTTCTCAAAACAGGATCATAAAGAAGACTACAAAAAATGGAAAACAACCCTTATAATAAAATTGTTAGAAAAGAAAATGGGCCCCAGATTTCTACTGACTCATTTATTCAAAATATGGAATATCGTGAGCTTCTATGAAGCTATTGACTTAGAAAACAGGTATATCCTTCGCAAGTTCCATGACCAGCATTATTATAATCATGTACTCCATGAGGTCCCTGGATAATGGCAGAATGTAACACCTCGTGTATACCTGGTAATGTTATCATACTATCGTATTAAGCTGCGCTTAATTAAAAATGCGGAATATCTTTTTCTTTTCAATTATGACGTCATTATGCTTAACCAAGTTGATTACTTAATCAATTTCATAAAATACCGCCTGTATGTAAATTGCAATAAACATCTAACTGGAGTACCTCCATATATAGATATAAATGTGAGTATCTAAGTCATGGATCTACTACCCGTAGTCCGGACAATAATCCTGATACATTATACAACTCCAACTAAAACAAGACATAAACAAGTCTATGTGGCATGGACAATCCCCATGCTCACCAAATCAACGACATAAGCAACCAAGTCTCAACATAATAATCCATAAACTGAAGCTAAAAGCATAAGACAGTAAACAGGATCCAGCATCAAACATAGCAGCATAAACATGCAACATCTATCAGCTAAGCTCTGGCCTCCTGCCACTAGAGGTCTCAACCCCCGCATTACCTGAACCTGAAATAAGCATTCCCCAAACTTGGGGTGAGATCTCTAAACCAGAAATCTCAGTAAAACAAGGGGTCCTCAAGGATCTTCCACCCCAAGCTCACTTACATATGCAATATAAGTTCTAAAAGCAAGTATCAATATCAGTTCCAAAACTATGTAGTGCAACAGATATTCATGCCATGTGTGTCAATACTATTCTACTGGCCAGCGAAATGCAGGAATACGTCTATACCTACATGTAGTACAAGGAACACCGCTTGCACCTCACCCACAACCTCACCATATTGTATGTACCACATACTCAGGCTTACCGTATAGGTGGAACACCACATGCATATCATAAAGGCACTAGCATATAACAGCTCAATAGCATTTCCAAAACATCAAAAGCATGTAACACAACATGCACATAACCATACCCCCATGAGACATGGTGGAACCACAACATTGTTAAACCGAGGACACGAAAGCTTACCTTGCAAGCTAGCTATCCAAGCCAAAAGTCCACAAAATCTCAAAGCCCAAACACAGCGTATCACGATCTGTTATGGACCAATAATAAATCAATGAACGTGCACCACAAGCATAATATTAAGACCACGCCTTCTCATTACGTTTTACTTCTTAAGGCTTCACACAAAGCCATAAGCCCTTAATCACATGATTCTGACTTAGTTCATTAATTACAGAAGTTCAACTTCATCAATCTAGGGTTCACAAACCCTCAATAGCCTACTGTACACACAGCACAGCTACTGTTCTACGAAATCTCAGAATATCTGGATATTCCTCGGGGGCATATCCGGATATTCAATATCCGGATATCTCACTGTACATATCCAGATATCAATATCCGGATATCCAGATCCCTATATCCGGATATCCAATATCCGGATATTTCACGATCAGATATCCAGATATTTCAGACAGAATGCAGTTTCTGCATTTCGTGAAGATATCCTTCCAAGGTTGGGTTTTTACCGAATAAAGACACTTAAACATGCATTTCTAGGTGTGTTTGACATTACCCAACGTTAGGTTATCATCTTAAGCCCTTTACATGCATCAAGGTTCCATTTTTAAGCATAAAAACTCAAGTTCAAGTGTGATGATCATACCACAAGCTCAAAACAGCAAAGGGAGATGCTCTTGGAGCTCACTTGAAGCTCCCACAGTTCTGACTTCCAAGGTAAACGAAAATGGTGCACAAGGTAGCTCTTTTACTCAACAAGGAAGCTCCTTGAAGCTTCAAAACACCAAATAAAGACTCCCACCACTCAAACCCAAAACTCAGAAGCTCAAACCCCCTTCACACAGGTTCTCTAACTCAGAAAGGTGACTCTTTTCTGCTCACAAGGCTCACACCCTCAAGACCAAGTGTTTAGGAAGAGGTATCAAGAAAGTAGAAGGTCACAAGGCTTATACAAGAGGGAAGAGAGCACCAAAACAGCGCAAACTGATCAGCCTCCAAGGTATCCACGCATAGAAGTCTGTTTTCTAGGGTTTTGTGCTCTTCATAAGTGTATTTATAGGCCACTTAAGCATTAAACACACAGTATTAACTTAATTATCTACGCTTAACATTTTAATCCCAAACTCAGGATTCTTAACCTACTCAATTTTACAAGAATTATCATATTTTTATTATATTTTTCGGAGCACATTTCCGGTACGCGCTTTTCATAGCCAGTATCAGTTACCAGTTCTCATTATTTTAACTTGAAACTCGTTTTACAAGTCCTATATATTATTCTAGGAATTATCACGCACTTATTATAATTTTCCGGATACTTTTTCGGTACGCATTTCTACCGACTAGCAGAACCGGTATCTGCATTTTTTTTCCGAAAAGCGACTTTCAGCATTCTTAATCACTTACTATAATTATAAGAGCCTCATAATAATTATTAGGGTCAATTATGGAATTATTTCCTAATTTTCACATTTAATTAATTAATTTCCTTAATTAACGGTGCGGGTTCTTACACAGAACACTATGTAATGGTTCAAACATGGAGACAACTATTTGATCCCTATGATTAGACAGTCAAGAAGTTGACAATCTGGCTTCGTACTCCTGAATTACCCACTGAGTTTTATTGTTCTCACCATCTATAGAGAATAGGTGATCTCTTTGGGATAACCTTGAAAGTTGACCGAAACTCCATTAGAAGAACAGATGGAGGGATAATGAGACAACAGACAAAGTAAAATTTGCTAGGATATGTGTTGAGGTTTATCTTCAGAAAATATTAGTGTCCAAATTCAGAATTGGTCGCAAGGTCTTTCCGGTGGGGTATGAAGGTCTTCATCTGGTTTGCGTTGCCTATGGTCAATATGGTAACCGAAAAGATAGTTGCCATGGTGGAAACAAACAAGAGAGGAGTAAGGAAGGGGAGGTTGTCAATGGTCTTGAAGGAGCGGAAGGCTATAGCAATGTTATTAAACCCGGACCGGTGATCGATCCGGTCGGAGTACCGGGTCAGTGGGTCACTGGTTCAACCGCATGAACTAGATATATATATATATATATATAAATTAATATTTTATACTCAACTATATAATAAATATTTTAAATGGTGCAAGTGGATTAAGAACCAAATGTAGTTTAGTGGTAAAGACTATAATTTATATATTCATAATTCATAACAAAGGTTCGATTCCCACTAAATGTTATTTTGAAATAATTTTATTAAATGATAATATATATATATATATATATATTAAATGGTGCATATTAACCAACAAGGAAACTCAGCCTAGTGGTAAGTTGTTGTTGAGCATTATCATGAGACTCAAGTTCGAATCCCAGCAGCTGCAACATTGAAAATATTTTTTCAAAAACCGAGTTGAGCTATAAAACCGGTCCACCGGGTCACCGGTTAATACCAGTTGAACCGGGTTCTTGACCGGTTCACCGGGACTATACCGGGTCGATTGCTTGTCCGGTCCATTGCAAGAATCGGACCGGTTGATAGGCCGATTTCCGGGCTAACCGGTCGGACCGGTCCAATTTTCACAACACTGGGCTATAGTCAACCTATTCCTCATGTTAAACATGATGAAGATGCCTTTGATGGTTGGATGGTTATGCAAAAGGCAGCTAAAGGGCGTAACATGAAAAGTTTGTTGGAGAATCAGGTTGATGGCTCGAAGGTACAGTCCACGGTTTTGCATTCCAATGCAGGAAGATCCACCGGTCAGAAGGGAACCTCGAAAGCTGCAGCCTTGAGCAGTGGGACAAACATGACAGGTGTTGTCACCTGAATGCTGGGATCAGTCACCATGCAGAGAATGCCAGTACGCAAAGACAGTTGAATGCTTTCTATAAGCATTACCCTCCGACTTTCAAGGGGACTTATTATCCAATTGATGTTGCCAAGTGCTGCAAGCCTTAGAAAAGATTTTTAAAATCATGAGGTGCAGAGATCAGCTGAAGTTATTATATGATACTTACATGTTACAGGATGAGGCCAATGCTTGATAATTGGGTTCCTGAAATAGGTAAATGTGATCATAAATACGATCCCTGATTTTAAGATTTCCAGGAAAGTTGAAGAGTATGTCTCCCAAGATGGTTCTTGGAATTGGGATTTTTTGACTTAGTTTCTTCCCACAAACACTATATCTTTGGTTGCTAGCAATGTTATTAAATCCGGCCTGGTTATTGACCCGGTCGAGGTACTGGGTCACTGGTTCAACCAGTGGGTCACTAGTTCCACCGCATGACCCGGTAAGTATATGTAAACCTACAATTTATATTAAAAAAACTATAAATATACTTAAATACTTGTAAAAAAATATACTACTTCCAGATATTTTAATATGAAAATAACAAATTACACATCATTGTCCAACAAAAAGTCAATCAAACATATAATATTTGTGATACTAGTGTTTCAGGTTCAGTAAATGACATCTCTAACTATAAATCAAATCAAAATTCCATGCATATTGCATAATCAAGATAATATTAGTGTTGTAAGTACATAATCTATATAAGTTAATAAGTTACAAATCCCTCAAATATATCAAAAGAAAACAAATCATTTGTGTTTGAGAGTAAAAAAAGAAGACATTAATTTATAAAAATAAATTAGTTTTTTTTATATACCGGGCCGGGTCACTAGTTGAACCGACCGGGTCGCCGGTTTTTACGAAAACTGGCCGGGTCGCACCGGGTCACACCGGTTCTGTAACATGGCCGATCCAATATGAAAACCGAACCGGTTACATGACCAGTTCACTGGTTTCCAGGTCGACCCGGCCGGATCGGTCCGGTTTTTATAACATTGCTAGTTTAATTCCTCCTTCAACTGACAATGGAGTGGACAAATTTATATGGGACTTGTCTCGTGATGGAACCTTCTCTGTCAATACTGCCTATAAGTTCTTGAAACCAACCCCCCCCCCCACACCCAAATTCCCCCTATTTCAGTTCAGTTGATCTCTGGCTTGCGATTGGGAGGGCCCTAAAAGGATTAGAACTTTCATTTGGCTTCTCTTAGGTGAAAACCTCCACACAAATGTTGGGAGGAGCAGAAGACACTTGGGGGATTTTAATCTTTTTCCGCGTTGCTTCCATCATACTAAAGACTGGTTAGACATCTTTAGGGACCGTTATTGGACCTAGGAATTCTGGTTGAAGTTAATCAACCATGACCAACATCATCTCTTCTTCAATTCTCCCTTTCTGGACTGGTTAAGTGTCAACTTAAATAGGAAGAATGATCCCCTCAACATCCTTGCTGGAGCATCTTGTTTGGGGTTAGCTGTTGGCTCATCTGGCAAGAGCATAATAGCTTAATCTGCAAAGGCTGCCACAAATCTCAGGATAGTCTAATTGCCCGGGCTAAGACTTTTGTGGATAATATTTTGGTTGCTGATGGAGCCCTCTCCTGCGTAACAGCTAGATCAAGCTGGAAACATGAAATTCTTATGAGGTGGCAATTTCCCTTTGTTGGCTAGAGCAAACTCAACACAGATAGGAACGCGATGTCTTCCCATAAAATGAAGAGTGGAGGGGACTTCGACTGCCTTCTTGTATCGGGTGAAGAGAAGGGGGTGGTAGGCTTAGTAGGGCTCGAACCTACAATATTACCGTTATGAGCGGTACGTTTCAACCTATTAAACTATAAGCCCCTACGGATCTCTACATGCAATTCGCTCACTTCGGGAAGAGTGGACGGAAAGAGGAGGCCTTTGCTCTATCTGCTTCTTCCTCTTCCCAGGAATGAACAATTGGATAAAAAAATGATTTTCTTCTTTGTTTTTATATATATTTGTATATATATATAATAAAATAAAGATTAAGCAAGCGGCCCTTTCGTGACTCAAACTGCCGGTACGCTTTCCGGCTCGCAACGACTCAAACGGGCGGGGGCTATCTATTTGCTTGCAATGCGGGCTGTTCGCCTTTCGGATTCGGAAAGGGTTCGCCTATTTGATTCAAAAGGCGCTACTAAACTACTCTAGTACAGCTAGTGTTAGTAGTACAACAGAATGCCGTTCACCCCGCAATCCCTTCTTCTTCAAGAGCTCCCTATTATCTAGCAGCCCCTTCTTTCACAGCTCCCTCTCAAGCACTTGCCATTGTCTGGAAATTTGCCTTGCCCCATTCTTCGAGGCGCATCAATTCCTTGCCTTTGCTCTCATTGCTGCTTGAAGTCCAGTCTTTTAAGTGAAATCCCAAAAATGGAAAGTCAGTAGTCATTGTCGGGATGGAAAGCTACTCTTCAACCACTTATTTAAGCGCTATGCACCTAAGCTCAGTCTTTCTGGCAGCTATCTTGCTAAACCTAGATTCTTGCTAAATAGTTCCTTTTTCTTCTCTCTTTATGCTCGAAATCGTACTCATTCGACATCTAATTTCATGGGCTGGGCATACCTTCTTTAGCTCATTTTTCTCTTTCTTTGACTTTGAGGAAGATCCCACGAATCGTCTTCTATCGACATCGTCTGCTTACTCTTATCGTACGCTCTTCTTACCCAACCCAAATCGTCTGGTACTTTGTCCGCTCTCCCTTTCCTGGTGAAGGAGAGAGAGTTTTACAAGCTGATGCAGCTAATAAAGTCTCGTTGAAAGCAGGAACGAAGACTGTGACGACTATTTGAACTAGTTTCAAAGGCTTGATTGATTGACCCTTGGGAGTGAATCTGGCTAGGGCGCCCTCGTAAGGCGTAGGGTAGGGATTTGAAACCGGAGGCCTCTCCTCATCTAGTTCTTTCGTTACGCCGAGAAGAAGCAGAAAGAAGCTTGGAAGAAGAGATGGTCAATCTTCTCTTATCTTATGGGCGAGACTGCTAAAAAAGAGGCTCTTTAAAGCCAGAACGAGTCCTCTCTTGCGGGAGGGATAGGCGGGAAAGGGGGAGGAGGTCTTCAGTCACTCCGTTTTTGAATTGGGTCACGAATGGTATTCGATTTCTTTTAACAGCATAAAAGCATTCGAACTTGGGAGATGCGAAAAAGAAGAAGGTTCTTTTTTATATTCCTTCTTCAAGATAGTACGCACAGGTGATAACATCCCTAATCGAATGGCCTAGCTTTGCTTCTTCCTCTTTCTCTGCTTCGGTTTACCAAAGGGGGTGAGGTCGACCTTCTTTCGGTGGTACCTTTTCTGTCTAGCTCGTTCTCTTGGTCAAAAGCCACAACTACTCCTTAGTGGCCAAGAATAATAAGAATCGCCCGGGATGAGTGAGAGCTAAAAGAAAAGCCTAGCGGCAATTCCCGATCTTCTCTTGATAGAAAGATCATATCAACACCGAAGACAGATCGTAGTTACGAGAAGAAAGGTATGCCGGTTGATGGATGTAGTTCATTCTAGAAGTAGTTTGTTAACCGAATTGAATTGTTCGGTCGTGGTACTTTTGCTTGCTATTCAAACACATTGTCGAAAGGGGAAGATCGAATTAGCTCTGGTTCAAGAAGCCTAGCCTTCTTTCTTCGTAATTCTACTGAACGGGGTCGATCCACTTTACTATAAGTAAGTCAAATCGGAAGCCGTTTCAGGTGCATAAACAAAAAGGCGCCTTCGGATACAGAGGGGCTACTCTAGTCACTCAAAGTCCTAGCTAAGTAAGGAACAGACTCTCCAAACAGAAGTACGTACTGCGCGGCCGAGGAAGCATCCGAAGCATCTAAAGTAGAATGAATAATCCGAATCCGTTGAATAGGAAGCCTTTGATCCGCTTTCTGAGAGCGCTGAATCATTCGATTCGAAAAAGGTGGAAAAAAGGTCATAGCACCAGCACCTGAACGCTTACTCTTACTGCTTCAGGTTCACCTCTTTTCTTAGGATTGGCTGCCCTGAGGTTCTTGTTTGGAGTCATTTGTTTATCACAGAACAAGTCCCCCTCAGTCACTGCCATAGTTGACCCAGTATCAACCAACCCTTTCTTCCAGATCCTCGCTTCTATGGGCCAAATCACTCTCCTCGCTCGTTAAACTCGCACCTTGACTACACCCTTCTCGGCTTTGTTACCCAGACACTCATCCTGAGCAATCTCTTCCGGTTCAGCAGTGTCCAGCTCCCCCCCTTTGCCATTGTCACTACTGGTACCTGACCCCGTCGGCTCGACATTTTTGCAAACACCGACCCTTACTCAATAGGGCAATGAAAAGAGGAGAACGAGGACAGCTGACTACCGCTAAAAGTCAGACTACGAGTACACATTGTATGATTGAAAACTGCCGCTGCGTACTACCCGGTGCTTGCAGGTCTGACTGGTGTCTTCTCTCCAACAGCTGCTTCAATCAATGTGAAGTCTGACTACTCGGCTTGCTTAACACAAGTGTGATTTAACCTTCACGGACCACTTCACTACCCAGCGAGCTCCGGCAAGAAAACAACAAGCAAGGGATTCCTCTAACGAACTCCTTTCAGGGCGCTAAGGCTAGTCTCGAAAAAGATAGATAGCTCTCTTTTGCTCAATGACTTCAGGTATTCCGAAATGCAGGGAAAAAAAAAGGGGGCTTTAGCGCTCGTACGGTAGTCAAGTCAAAATCTCCTTCACTCGGTAGCTTCTTTAACTACATTCGTTCTCCTATACTATGAGGGAAAGTAAGCATCAAACTCAAAGAACAGCTTACATAGGTAATGGGAAGACGCTAACTCCAGCTCTGAGACAAGAACTGTCTATCCGGCTTGCTTTGCTGCTACTTACTCTGTCTTCGCCGGGTAAGCGCTGTCTGTTCTGCTCCACTAAAGGATAAAATAACTCACCAAAAGCAAAGAAAGCAAGGAGGGAGCTCATGCCCGGCTAAATGA